AATTATTGGAGGTTTGCCTTGAATTTGTCCCCCTCCCACAGCTACAGCAGGGAAAATTAAATCTGGGGGTGTCAGTTAACCCCCTTGCCTTTGTCCCTTCAGAACTTTTACCCTGAAGCCCTTTCCCCCCTTCCTTACTGTCAGGCCCCGTTCTTCCTGAGCACATGGCAGTGAGAAGCAAATTTGTAAACGCTGACCTTGAAATAAACATATCTGTAGTAACTTGCATATAGAGAAATTGCTACAGGTACCCAGAGGCTTAGTTCATCCAGAATTGATGCAGTTTACCCCTTTTGAAACTGTTGCAGGCTTTAGCATGGGTACTCCATAAACACACCTTTAAGCATAACTTCTGTACCTACTTGTATATAGTACAAATGATGCATGCCATTAGTCCAAAGCCAAAAGGCTCATGATTTTTACTATATGGTTCATTGGGTTGGGCCCCAGCAAAGACCACAGCATTTCAAGCTCAGCACTGCTCTGGATACCTCCCCACAAAGGATCCATATGATAATATCACGCCACTAATGACAGGAACTGGGTGTTTTTGTTGCAAGTCTTGGGATCCTCTAGAAATGTATATGCAGATAAGGTGCAGTTGCAACCTGGTCCAGCTCCAGCTCATGGAAGGCGAGACCACGCTAATCATATGCAACAGGCTAAGAGAGGGAGCAATAGGGATTGTAGGTAAACTGTATGTGGCCATGTTTAGTGATGTTTGCCAGACATTCATTGGAATAGGAAAGAAAGGCACAGCTTGGCTGTGAGAGTGAATAGAAAACATAAGTGTATTTAACGGAGTGGCTCACCATGACTTGAAAACAGTTGGTGCTGAAGGGGGACAGGTATCTTTTTCAGATGGGTCACACTAACCTATCCCTGTGGTAGGTTCCCAACAGTATGTTTGTACAGTATGGGCCAGGTGTTTTTTAGTCATGCTCAGTGTTAGCTGCATTAAATCAGCTTTATAGTTAGTTTCCATTACTGAGCATGCACTACTTTTAGCACCAGTTTAATGATGGGCAATGTATTTAATGAGGTTTCCTTGTATACAGATATAGGCTCTTTTTCCCCATGTCAATGGTGGGGGAACCTTGTCTTGTATTCGAGTAAATGCAGAACTTGCCAAAACCTGCTTTTAAGAAAGGGAGAATATTTCAGTTTTAAAAGCCCTGGTTCCCCGATATTTTTTTCCTTTGCTACTGACTGTCCCCCCAAATGTCTGTTGCTGGGTGAGCTGTCAGGGTCCTGAGTGGAAAATTGGTTTCCTGATAATTTCTTTTGAGAGACCTACTTACTTTTCTCTATCTTTCCTATGCCAGAGGAAATTCTCTAAATGTCTGTGCAATGATCTCTCCAATTTACACTGTTAACACAGTTAAGTAAGGTATGCTGTTAGGTTGTTTTTAATATACTAAAAATAACATAGCATTCCCATGTATATACTCAAGTGGCACAGGAGTTAGAAGGGGCATAGTGAAATGCTGCATCTCAGAGGATAAGATGTGTTGCTAGTTTGCCTCTCTTAGTGAGTATAATCCAAATATATTTCCCAGGAGTGGGAGTTAAGGGAAAATATTATGGTAACATTATTTACATTGTATTCTGTTCTCTTTTGTTATCTCCTGTGAAACAATAAGGTTATGCTTAGAATGAGTTTAACATTTCTGTGTTCTTGCCTTTGGATATTCATTTGAGCTCTCCGTTATCTGTGGTGTTATGGATGTCGGCAGGGGAAAATTTCAACTGTCTTAAAAGAGCAACAGTGAGCCTAATTCTTAAAGGAAAAGAATTAAAATTGAGTAAAGATCTGTCTCTCTTGCTTACCCTCACCTTTTTATTTCTTAAGTTTATTGAGGAGGTGATTGTCCACCGCTTCTAAGGCAGTGTGAGGGGAAGGGGGAAGTCTTTGTTTCACTTCCACATCACTCAGGGCACTTTTACATGTGCTCTGGCACATTCTTATTAGAATGTGTCTGAGCAGGCTTGAATCGAATCTGCTCATGTGTTCTCATCAGAATGCTCCGGTGTGCTGTAGAGTGTTGCATGAACTTTAGTTAAAGCACTCCCGCTGC